AAAAGGCTCTGCCCTCCTCCCCATACATGTTTGTGGTCAGAGACTTGCCTTAGCTTTGGGACCCAGCTCAGCTCCTGAGTTCCAGAGGGCCCCTGGACACCCGCCTCTTCTAGCCTGGCCTGCGGCCTGGGCCTTTGCCTGGGGCAGCGTGAAGTCTCAGGCCCAAGGGCTTGTCCTGTGAGGCTGGACCACCCCATGGAGGGGGGGGGCGCAGCATAGGTGGTCTTTGTAGGACTTGATCACCTCCCGAAGGCAGGACAGCCTCCATGTCCAGCTGCTAATTAGCTAAGTAGGGTCCAGCTGCAGTACTTACCTCCCAGACTTCCCCTCTCAGCTCGTAGCTTCCTCAGCTCGGGGCTTCTCCCCGACAGGGCCCCTTTCCAGGCTAGTCAGGGGTCTGGATCCCACACCTGCACCCCTTGATTATTTGGTAATTTGTGTATGGGTAGCATAACTTTTTTTAAAAAATATATTTTTATTGATTTTTCACAGAGAGGAAGAGAGAGGGATAGAGAGTTAGAAACATCAGTGAGAGAGAATCATCCATCAGCTGCCGGGATGTGCCCGCAACCAAGGTACATGCCCTTGCCTGGAATCGAACCTGGGACCTTTCAGTCCGCAGGCCGACGCTCTATCCACTGAGCCAAACCGGTCCCTGCTGGGTAGCATAACTTTTTTTTTTTTTTAATTTTAAATATATTTTATTGATTTTTGTACAGAGTGGAAGGGAGAGAGATAGAGAGTTCGAAACATCAATGAGAGTCATTGATCAGTTGCCTCTTGCACACCCCCTACTGGGGATATGCCCGCAACCAAGGTACATGCCCTTGACCGGAATCGAACCCGGGGCCCTTCAGTCCCCAAGCCGACGCTCTATCCACTGAGCCTAACAGTCCCGGCTGGGTAGCATAACTTTTGAACCACTGTTCCTGCGCCAGAGTTGGCCCTTGGGTGTGTTTCATTTGACCTGTATAGGACTTTTTAAAATGTTGATGCCATTGCAAACATTAAAAATCCGGTGGTTTCAATTTAAAGTGGGACTTCCCAGCCTGCTTGAACAGGAACTCTCAGCTGGAGCCAAGTGACAGCTACCCCCTCTGACCTCTATCCCTACCACTCCCAGGTGTCTCACATGAGGCTGCGGTGTGGCTCTGGTCAGACTGTCTTTATGCCTCTGCCTTTGTGTCCTGGGGCCCCTTAGCACCCTCAGGAGTGTCCACAGATACTGTAGGAGGGAGTGGGTGCTTGGAGGACCTCCAGCCTGACTTTTCCCAAAGAGGCCTGGAAGCCTCTTACCTCTGCAGCCAGTTCTCCATGATGGAGAGACCCTATTTGCCTAAATGGTTCATCTTCAGCCATGATCTTGCACCCTGGACTCAGATAGGCCATGCTCTTATCCACCTAGAGGTTCAAGGGCAGCTTCCAGGAGACCACTCCCAAGTTTGTCCATCCTTTCCTCATATGCCTTCCAGATACCACCTCCCTTTAAAACCCGGTTACCTGGACTGTCTTGAGGGAGGGTTCTAAAGAGTGAGGCTGAGCTTAGTCCAAGGGTCCCTATAGCCAAGCTTGGGTGATGGAGACAGATCCAAGCGGCCAGGACTGCTTTGGACCAGTGGCATTGCTAAGATGTGGACTGGGCCGAAACTGGTTTGGCGCAGTGGATAGAGCGTCAGCCTGCTGACTGAAGGGTCCCAGGTTCGATTCCAGTCAAGGGCATGTACCTTGGTTGTGGGCACATCCAAGAGGCAGCTGATTGATGATTCTCTCTCATCGATGTTTCTGACTATCCCTCTCTCTACCTCTCTGTAAAAAAATCAATAAAATATATTTAAAAAAAAAAAAAAAAAGGTGTAGGGAGAACTGGTAGGGAGAACCAGAGAAGGCCTAATGAAGCAGACACACTCCGGACTTCCTGTGTTAATTGCCGGAATATTGGGAGAGTTGATAGAATTTCCAGAGATTGATCCTTCCCCCGTGTAACCCACTCTGTACCACCATCATCCTGCATCTTCTGGGAACTAGGCTCAGAGTTAGGAAGCAGATCTGAGCTTTAGACAGGATCCTGCTCAGAACCCTTTTCAGTGGCAGGCCCAGATGTTAGTCCTCCCCCTGTGCCACGGCAGCAGGAGAGGTGACTATGCCAGCTCTCACCAACTCTGGCCCTCTGCCAGGCAGGGGCCCCATTCTGCATTCCAGACCTAGACCCAGCATGGCTCTCTAGGTAAGGCTTGGGGTCAGGCCCGTGCCAGCTGTTGGCCAGCCCTTGAGGCTGGTGCCATGACCCCGTTTTCTGGCCAGTGTCTTGGCAGGCAGGTGCTCCTGCCGTACTGAGCTGCTCAGAGAGCTCTGCCTGAGGTGAGGAAGACTGGCTTGACCTGTTGGAGGAGCCAGCCCTGCCCTCTATGACTTCCTGCCCCCGCACCCTGAGCTCCTGAGTCAGTGAGCTGGCCAGCTGGGACTGATGGGGGCGTGTGTGCAGGGAGGCCAGGTCAGACCTCTTAAGGAAGTTGGCTTAGAGCACAGGTGAGCCATCAATGCTGTGGTAGAAACTACAGTCCCTCCACTTCTCACCAAGGCAGCAGGAGTGCCCAGCCCAATTGTCCTCAGACGCTGCCCTGAACTCATCACCCCTTGTTTCCACTCCTCCTACCTGACCTCTGCACATCGGCTCCTATCCTGTTTACTTAAGATGTCCCATCAGCGTTTCGTTGCTTGTCTGATGGAGGCAGAACACTCCTTCTGATGACTAGATCCCATCTTGTCTTGCATCTATCCTCCCCAAGCCTCAGCCCTTCGCCGTAATTGCCCAGGCCACCAGCTACGTTGTCCTCATTCTTCAAACAGGCCACGCACCTACCTGCCACAGGCCTTTTGCTCATGCTGCTCTTTCTGCCTGGAACTCTCTCCCCTGAACAGCCCCTCTGCTCTCTGCTGTATGTGCCCAGAGAACTTTCCCTTCACATATTTATCTGTGGACTGTGTCTGCCTCTCCAGGTTGGGAGCTTCTGGAGGTCAGAGGTGGGGTCTTTTGTCATACCTCTAGTCATACCTGTAGGTGGAGTCAAGGGCTGGGCACAAACCAATTTGCCTGAGGAATGAGTGATTGAGAATGAACAAAGTGAAAACCCTGTTCGAGCTGCTGTAGGGACCTGTGACCAACCCCTCTGAAGCCGGCATCAGTGTAGGGGACATCCCAGGCCCTCCTGCCTGCCGCTCCCTCAAGGCAGGCAGTGGTCAGACCAGATCAAGAAGGGCAGTTCTGTGCCCTAACCGGTTTGGCTCAGTGGATAGAGCGTCAACCTGTGGACTCAAGGGTCCCAGGTTCAATTCTAGTCAAGGGCATGTACATTGGTTGTGGCACATCCCCAGCGGGGCATGTGCAGAAGGCAGCTGATCCATGTTTCTCTCTCATCGGTGTTTCTAACTCTCTTCCTTCCTCTCTGTTAAAAAAAAAAAAAAAAAAAAAATCAATAAAATGTATTTTTTAAAAGGAAAGAAAAGAAAGAAAGGGTAGTTCTGGCCCTGGCTGGTTTCGCTCAGTGGATAGACTTTCAGCCTACAGACTGCGGGGATCCTGGGTTCAATTCCAGTCAGAGGTGCATGCCTGGGTTGCGGGCTTGATCCCCAGCAAGGCAGACAATCAATGATTCTCTCTCATCATTGATGTTTCTGTGTCTCTCTTCCTCTCCCTTCCTCTCTGAAATCAATTTAAAAAAATATTTTTAAAAAGAAGAAGGGCAGTTCTGGCCAAACTCTCCCTGCTGGACTTGAGGGTAATTAGAGGCTGTATTACTCGCAGGAGACCAGCCCAGGGTCTTGCAGGAAGCCGTGGAGACACCCAGGGCCCCACCCAGCTGCTCAGCTCACTTTGTAGCTCCCAGCAGGGTATGTGTGTGGGGTGTAGGTGGGCAGCAGGCAAGCTTTGGGAAGTTGGCTGGGAGGGGTAGGCAGAGAGGGGAAGAGAGGGCTGGGCCCTTTGTTCCTTGGGTGGGGATAGAAGCAGCCCTCACAGCTGGGTGACTGCTGACCACTGGGACCACAGTGACGACAGGGTTCTGCGTGGAGACACGTTCAAAATGGGGACATAAAACCGAGACCAGGAAACAAATGGATGAAGGCACCTGCCAGAGTTCAGGGACCCCTGCCCCTGAGACCGTGGGCTGGAAGGCAGCGCTCACAGGGCTGGGGCTGTGAAGCGCCTCCTCGGGGCCTGGAGAGGGGCAGCGGAAATCCCTGGGCAGCCACAGGCCCTTGGCCAGAATCAGATGGGCACAGAGCAGCAGGGGTGCTGGGGGCCTCCAGCCTTCCCTCCATGTTCCCGGCCACCGCCCCTCCCCAGACCTGCCTTGGGAACAGGGGGATGAAGAACGGGGAGGCAGGGGAGCTTGGCAGCAAAGGAAGCCCTGCTCTGGCTCAGGTTTGGCCACAGGGGATGAAGGTCGGTGTGAGGGGGAATTTGAGTCTCTAAGGTGTCATGTTAGCCTGGGGTGACTAAGGAGATGGCCCCCAAACCTTCGTGCAGACCTGGAACGCCCACCCAACTGCACTGGATGGGGATGGAGGGACCCCCCTAGTTCCAGCATCTTCTCACCTGCCCTGGCAATGCTGGCATGATGACTAAGCTGATTAAAGTGGAACAAGGGACAAAATGTATGTGGGGTCTGCCTGGCGTGAGATTGGGGCTGAGGTACAGAAAGAGGGCATGGCTTCCCTGTGCCCAGGGCCCAGCACAAGTTCTAAGTGAAGCAGGTAGCAGATGGAGGACTCTGGAAAAGAAAGTTTAGAATGTTGGACGTGCTTGATGTGTTGGTAGCATAGGAAGATGAGACAGAGGATTCTGGGGGACCAGCTGGATGCAGCTGGAGGGACCACATCCCTCCCAGCCACTGTGATGCTTGGCCTGAGCCCTTATCTGGGTCACAAGGCTCCCAGACCTCTCACTGCCCCTGGCCCTCGGGTGGCCGGCTCCACCCATCAACCAATTCTCTCTCCCCCAGGTCTCTGATGCCCCTCTTGGACCCAGACTCTGGGCTCCTGGTCCTGGCAGGAAAGGTAAGGGAGAAGCTGGATCCACCCCACCACCAGCACTCCTACCCATGTCCACCTACGTCTGGCCCCTAGGGCTCGTGCCACGCCTAGTGCTGACCTTAGACCTAAGCAGACAGCTGGGAGACTGGGGAGTACAGTATGCTGCCACCCCCAGAAAGGAGGAACTAGAATAGTGTTTGCCAGGCTCCACTAGTGCCAGGCTGAGCAGCCTCCTGCCAGCATCTGGGCCTCCAAGTCTCCATCTATGAATGTCAACGTCATGAGGACAGGGTGTACATAGGGCAGTGTTAGCGCAGAGCCGGCAATCTGTAAATGTTGACTGTATACTCCCAGTGTCGATGAAGAACTAGTGAAGTTAAGTCCACTGAGGGCTCAGCTCATTGCCCAGCGCATGATGTCTGCCATGCTTCTGTAGCTCAGGTCCTTAGAGAGGAATGGCAGAGCTGGTACTGGGCCTAGGGCTGCCCCTGGTCACGAGTTTGGTCAATGAGGGTCCTTAGACTAGGCTCGTTTCAGGGTGAGAGTCAGCTGTACTGCTATGAGGTGGCCCTCCAACAGCAGGCACTGAGCCCAGGTAAGCACTGCCCTTCATCCTGCCCTCCCCTCCCCTCTCTTTTGTTTTTTTGTTTGTTTGTTTGGTGTCTTTTTTTCTCCTCCCTTTCTCTTTCTTCCCCGGCTCTCTTTCCCTTCCCTCCTCTCTCCTCCCCTCCCTCTCCCCTGACCACCCTGATTGTTCTCCTGTGCTTTCCCCAATAGTGACCCAGTGCCTCCTGGAGAATGTGCTTCGGGGGGCTGCCCTTGTGCCCCGGAGGGCGCTGGCTGTCATGGGCTGTGAGGTGCTCCGAGTCCTGCAGCTGACCGACACAGCCATCGTGCCCATCAGCTTCCACGTGCCCCGCAAGGTGAGGGCGGCCTGGTGAGGGGCTGGGAGGGCCTGGGGGCTTCGTGCCTCACTGACCTCATGCCTGTCTGCCACCAGGCCGTGGAGTTCTACGAGGACCTGTTCCCCAACACCGCGGGCTGCGTGCCTGCCTCCGAACCACACTCCTGGTGGGCTGGGAGCAACCAGCAGGTAGGACCAAGGCCTGGCTGCTGCTCCTGGTCTCCACCAGCCCCTGAAAGCCCTCCTGACAGCAGCCCCATGCGTGCCCCCACAGTCCAGCCCAGCACTAACTCAGCGGTCCTGTCCCCCATCCCCTCCCGCCCCTCAACTGCTGCCTTCCCTCACAGGTACAGAAGGTCAGTCTCAACCCGACATGCCAGCCTCACCCCAGCTTCACTTCCCACCTGGTGCCCCCTACAGAGCCCTCCCCTGATGCCGTCCAGCCTGCGAAGCTGCCGACGGGCAACAAGGACCCCAGTGTGAGTGCCGGTGGGAGGCCCCATGGTCTTTTTAACCTTTTCTAGCTGTCAAGCATATCAAACATTTAGTAGAAAGTGAGACTATCACATAAAATCTAGATTTCTGGCTTCTCTTAAAACACTGGCAGATCTTAACCACCCTGCACCCACCTTCCCACAAATGCTGGGAGCCAGCAGCTGCCACCTGCTGTCCCACAGTCTGAAGTTCCCTTAACCCCCATGTTATTCCCAGCACCCCCCTCGTCTGCCATTATGCCCCTTCCTCACATCCCAGAGCCAGGCTTCGTGCCCAGCTCAGTGTGCCAGTCCCGGAGGAAGGGCCCAGAGTGACAATCCCAGCATCCCCTCTCTTTGGCCAACACGCCGAGGGGCCTGTGACTGATCCAGGTGCTTTGCCCTCAGGAGGGCTACTCCTCCCCTCCCAGCTCTCTGATCTCACCCTCCACGCCATCCAGCTTGGGGCCCTCGCTCTCCAGCACCAGTGGCATTAGCACCAGCGCCAGCCAGAGGTCACTGCAGAGCCTTCTGGGTAAGTGCGTGGTGAGGGAGCAGCTAACCCTTCCACCCCCAGCCCAGTCATCCTCCTCTGTACCCCAGCCTGTCTCCCCTCCTGGTGGAGTCCCATGCCCTGTGGTATGAAGTCAGCCTCACCTGGAAGAGGGTGGTCTGGACCCGCCCTGGAACCCTTCGCTTCCACTGAGATGCCTTGAGTTTCTTTCCCAGGCACCATTTTGGGCCAGTTGTGTTGGCTGGGACAGCAAAGGTCTGGGTATAGGCACATGCCTTGCATGATTTTGCAGTGAGGGGAGCAGACAGCCAGGACTGGCCCGGGGTCCTCCTGCAGGGCAGCTCAGGGTGGTCAGGAAGGGTATCCTCACAAGGCTCTGTGTCCCTACTGCCCACCAGGCCCCAGTTCCAAGTTCCGCCACGCTCAGGGTACCATCCTACACCGAGACAGCCATATCACCAACCTCAAGGGGCTCAACCTCACCACACCCGGCGAGAGCGACGGCTTCTGTGCCAACCAGCTACGTGTGGCCGTGCCCCTGCTCAGCAGCGGTGGGCAGGTGGCTGTACTCGAGGTGAGGACCCCACCCTATGACAGCTGCCCCCAATCCCTGCGGTATTCACACCAGTCCACATTCTCTGAGCACAAGCCATGTGCTAGGCATCTACCCAGCGTCCCCTTTAATCCTCCCAGCTGCCCCATGTGGGGTGCCACTCTTATCCCCATTTTACAGATGAGAGGGGTGAGGCCCAGAGAGGTTTAGTGACCTGCCGGGACAGCTGTGTAAGTGGTGGAGCTGGGATTTGAACCCAGGCCACCTAAGCCGGAGCTCTTTCTACCACCTCACGCTCCCCCCACCTCCTCCCACACACACTTTCTGGAGCCTCATGTTGGCACTTAAGACTCAGAGCACAAAGTGGGTAAGGCAGAGAGCCTGGGCCACCCAGCAGTGGGGCATCGGCTATAGGGTGTGCGGACCCAGACATGCGGCTTGCCTTGCAGCCCTGCCTGTTACTAACGGTACTCGGGGCGGGGGCACCTCCCACAGCTTCGGAAGCCGGGCCGCCTGCCTGACACAGCGCTGCCCACCCTTCAGAATGGGACAGCCGTGACCGATCTGGCCTGGGACCCCTTCGACCCCCACCGCCTTGCCGTGGGTAAAGAGGCTGGAGGCTGGGCTTGAGGGACGGTCCCAAGGTGGTGAAGAGAAGCAGGGGGGAGCCTGGGTGTCTCGGGCCCAGCAGTGGTGAGCCTTTGCTTTCTGCAGCCGGGGAGGACGCCAGGATTCGTCTGTGGCGGGTGCCCCCGGAGGGCCTCGTGGAGGTGCTGACTACCCCGGAGGCTGTGCTGACAGGTCAGGTGGGCCCTGGTAGGGCAGCGGGCGGAGAGGCAAGCAGCGGCTCCTGAGGAGCTCAGTATCGCCCCGGGCCTTGTCCCCAGGTCACACAGAGAAGATCTACTCTCTGCGCTTCCACCCCCTGGCAGCCGACGTACTGGCCTCCTCTTCCTATGACCTTACCATTCGCATCTGGGACCTTCAGGCTGGAGTTGAACGGCTACGGCTGCAGGGCCACCGGGACCAGGTAGGGCAGCTGTGGGGGCAAGCACCCAGCCACAGGGCAAGAGGCCACCTCTCACCTCTCTACCTGCCCCCAGATATTTGGCCTGGCCTGGAGTCCTAAGGGGCAGCAGCTGGCCTCTGTCTGCAAGGATGGATGCTTGCGGGTCTATGAGCCCCGGAGTAGCCCTGAGCCCCTGCAGGTAAGCAAGATGGGATGGGGCAGTCCTCGGGCCCAGTGGGGGTCTGGCTGAATCTCATGTGCTGTACCCCAACAGGAAGGCCCAGGGCCTGAAGGGGCCCGTGGAGCCCGCATTGTCTGGGTGTGCGACGGTCACTGTCTGCTGGTGTCAGGCTTTGACAGGTGAGGACTTGGGAGCTGTCGTACCTATTTCCAGACTTCAGGAGCCACTCATGTCTCCCTCCCCCAGACACACATACACCTGTCAGGCATGCAGAAGCTGTCTTCACCCATCACTTATTAGATGGATGGATGGATAGACGCATGGATGGGAGGGCGAAAGGGAGGCGGGAAGGGAGGGAACAGCGAGTCAGCTGGGAGCCAGAGGGATGAAAGCAGGGGACTAGTCGAAACATACTAAACAGAAGCAAGCCTATTGGGAGGGCCAAGGATTGGGCATTTGTCACTTTGGAGGAGGGATCAGGGAGAGCCTCCTGAGGGAGGGAACTGGGTCACAAAGGGACTAATAACCAGAGGATACCAAGTGTGGGTGGAAAAACCAGGAAGCTGACCAGCCTGGCTGGAGCAGAGGGCAGGAAACAGACCCTGGGGAGAACAGTCCAGACTTACTGGGCTACAGTGGCCATGGGCCAGGTGCCAGGGCTAGGACTGCTGAGGAGCACTGGAGGGCAGTGAGGGGGAGGATGACAGGGTCCGGGTGGGGAGAGTGTTTAGGGAGGAGAGGTTGAGGCAGGCGACAAGTGAGGACACTATTGCATTAGGCCAGGCCACTGATTCTAAGAGCTGGATAAAAAAAGAGAATAGGCAGGGGCATTCCTCTGGCCCTGAGTCCCCAGCTGGACAAGATCAGGGTCCTTGATGGAGTCCTTGCCCTGCCTCATGCCCCTCCAGTAATATCAACCTGTTTCTGCGCCCCCACCCCCAATCCGCTGTAGCCGAAGTGAGCGCCAGCTACTCCTGTACTCAGCCAAGGCCCTGGCTAGTGGCCCCTTGGCAGTGCTGGGGTTGGACACGGCTCCTTCCACTCTGTTGCCCATCTACGACCCAGACACCAGCCTGGTGCTACTCACTGGCAAGGTAAGCTGAGGTGCGCAGGTGCGGGGCAGGGGGCAGAGGAGATTGGGTGAAGACAGCTTTAGCTGACAACCTCACTCTCCCCCCATCACTCCCTCCAGGGTGACACCCGAGTGTTTTTGTACGAGCTGCTCCCTGAGGCTCCTTTCTTCCTGGAGTGTAACAGCTTCACTTCGACTGATCCCCACAAGGTGAGCCCTGAAATGCCATTTACCCGGTCCTCCTTTCCTCTCAGGGCTCCCCCGCCCTCTCATGGCCATCTGGGGAAATGCAGGGGCGTGTCAGGTGTGCTCAGCAGCTCCCAGGAGCTGGTGGTTAAACTAGATCATTATTGGAAGTTCAATTATATAAGGTTAAGTTATATGAGCCTGCAAATAAGTTATGCTAAAAATGAAGGCAAGCCATGGAGCATACTGTCCAACCTATGAGGGAAGGCGGGGGATAAAGGGGTAAGAGATTAAGCAAAAGACCTGTATGCATGCATATAAGCATAACCAATGAACATAGACAGTAGTGGGGTGAGGGCATGTGCTGGGGGTTGGGGGGAAGGGATGGCTGGGGAGAGGTCAATGTGGGGGGAAATGAGACTTATGTAATACTTTAAATAATAAAAATTTAAAAATTAAAATAACGAATGAATAAATAAATGAATGAATGAAAGCAAGTCCTGGCAGGTGTGGATCAGTTGGATGGAGCATTGTCTTGTATACCGAAAGGTTGGGGTTTGATCCCCAGTCGGGGCACATATGGAAGGCAGTAAATAGATGTCTCTCTCTCTTCCTTTTTCTTCTCTCATTTCTCTCTCTCTTCTCTCTCTTCTTTCTCTCCCTCCCTTCCTACCTCCCTCTTCCTCACCTGTGGCTCAGTGATTGAACATCAACCTATGAACCTGGAGGTCATGGTTAGATTCCTGGTCAGGGCATATGTCCCATTGGTTGTGTGCTTGATACCCAGTGGGGTGTGTGCAGGAGGCAGCCAATTGATGATTCTCTCATCATTGATGTTTCTGACTCTCTCCCTCTTCTTCTCTGAGGTCAATCAAATATATATATATTTAAATAAATGCAATAAAGCCTTACCCAGTTGGGCTCAGTAGATAGTGTCAGCCTGTGGACTAAAGGGTTCCGGGTTTAATTCCAGTCAAGGGCACATACCTTGATTGCAGGCTCCTCCCTGGCCCAGACCCTAGTCAGGACTCATGAAGAAGGCAACCAATTGATGTGTTTCTCTCACATCAATGTTTCTGTTTTTTGCTCTCTCTTCCCTAAAAAATCAATGGAAAAATATCCTCGGGAGAGGATTAACAAAACAAAATAAAAAAAGAGGCAAAAAAATACTCAATTTATCATCTCCTAATTATTTACCTGATTTTATTATCTTTTGTGCCATTGACGTTATTTACATCTGTCAGAGCTGTCCAATGGAAAGTACTACATGATGGCGTGCTATTGTACATTCCTCCCCACATCTGTATGCAGCAAGCCAGTGAGATCAGCCATGACAGTTTTCAAACCGTGGAAATAGGCAATGAATCCAGGCATCTTTCCTCCAGAGACCCAGTTGTTAAACATGTAACAGCCCTGACCGATCTGTCCAGAAATGGGCCTTGGTCCTGGTGCTCCTAAGTGAGGAGTACTGGCACCCTGGGGGTCTGGGTGCCCAGCTGTGAGCTCTGGGCCCCAGACCCAGCATGACTCCCCTCCCCCCTCAGGGCTTTGCACTCCTGCCCAAGACAGAGTGTGATGTGCGTGAAGTAGAGTTTGCCCGATGCCTGCGGCTTCGCCAGACCTCCCTGGAGCCCGTTGCCTTCCGGTTGCCCAGAGTCAGGGTGAGGATGGGGGCCCAGTATGCCAACACCCAGCCCCTTTCTGGGGCTTTGGGGCTTGAGTGGCCCTGTCCCAAAACTGCCCCCCTCATTACTTTCGGGGGCACCTGTTCCCTTACCCTGCTGAGATTCTGAGACTCCCGGGAACTCCAAACTGGAGCCCCTCCCAATGCATGCCAGTGTCCTCTGGGCCTCTGGTCAGTGCCTCTGGGCAGCCTCTTCCTCCCTCCCTGCAGAAAGAATTCTTCCAGGATGATGTGTTCCCAGACACAGCTATAAGCTGGGAGCCCGTGCTCAGTGCCAAAGACTGGCTGGGAGGTGCCAACAGACAGCCCCGGCTTCTCAACCTGCAGCCCCCTGGCATGACCCCAGGTCAGAAGAGGGATTGGGGTGGGTAGGAGGCAGGGAGTGGGTGGGGAGTAGAAAAGGGGGCAGAAGGCAGATCCTCTGTCCCTGCTGGCGTGCAAAACCTCTAGTGCTCCTAAGGGTGGGATGACTGTGTCTCCAGGCTCATTTTTAAACTACTGGAGGGTAGGGTCCTGAGTCTGTGTTGCCATCACAAGTCCCCTCCTCCAATACATGCACACTCACATAGTAACATACTCATGCACGCACACAGCCTGTTCAGGGCAGGCCTTAAGAACAGAGGGTTGAGTAGTTGTTAATGCACCTCTGGGGGTCTCTGCCACAGAATCCCCTAGGTGGCTGGTCCCAAAGAGTTGGACAGAGATTCCTCCACCGAAGGGACTCTTGTGCCTGATGCTTGTCCTTGCCCCGCCCCAGTGAGCCAGGCCCCCCGTGAAGCCCCTGCACGGCGGGCCCCATCCTCAGCGATCTACCTGGAAGAAAAGTCAGACCAGCAAAAGAAGGAAGAGGTAGGCACAGGAGAGGGCTGGCCGTGGGGAGGGAATGGGGTCCCCTTAGTTGCCCTTTAGTTCTCTAACCTGACCCACATTGGGCAAAGTAGAAAAAAAATGGCTCTTTCACAACCTTGATGGAATTCAAAGTGGGGTCTGACATTCTTGGGATCAGAGATCCTATTCCCTTCCCACCTCTTCTGTCCACTCTCCTAGCTTCTGAGTGCCATGGTGGCAAAGCTAGGGAATCGCGAGGACCCGCTCCCCCAGGACTCCTTCGAAGGAGTGGACGAGGACGAGTGGGTGAGTGAGTGAGTGGGCCTGGCATCCCATCCCTCCCTGCTCACCCGTGCAGCATGTGCCACCTCCCTTCTCTACACCTTCCCAACTCCACCCACTTTTTCCTTTATCTCCCCAGGACTAGTCTGCCCACCAAGCCGCCTCTGGCCTCACCTGCCGTTGCCACCTCCTAGTACCACCTAGTGCCCCTGCACACCTCATATCTTCCCCCTCAAACTGGAAGGCACCTTTTGGCTCTGGCATAACTCATCCCAGAAACCCTGGCTTTCTTTAGGCCTTGAGCACCTCCATGCCCACCAGGCCTTGCTAAAACACCCGTGGATTGTCTGCACCTCTGCTTTCTCTGGTACTGCCAACTTCTCCTCAGCTGCCTGCTAGCATGTGGAGCCAGAGTCTTGGGGGTAGAATGAGTGTGGGGGGTCCGTAGCATGCCCCTGAGCAAGCCCTGGAATCCGTTTCCCTACTCTGACTCGGGCTGCTTCCGCAGAGCACCTTCAGTTGTTACATGCCACCTCATCTTGCCCGCTGACCCAATTCTGGTCACTGGCCTTTGGGGGCTGGCCCCCTGCCAGACCATTTGGAGCAGCACCAGCCTCAGGGGTCTGGGGCAGTCACCCTGCTCCCAGGCTTGAAGCCAGGAGAAGCAGGCATCACAGGCTGATGGCCTGTTAAGGGAGTGTGAGCCCCACAGGGGCCGGCCTGCACATGCCTGGGATATTTTCAGCAATTAAACTTTTCTAAGCTTGCCACCTCTTGTGCTGCTGTGGTCTCTGGGATGACTGGGAAGGGAAGGGGACAGGACTATAGGTGAGGGTTCTCTCTGGTCCCAGGCTCCATTTTGCTCCTGGGGCCATTTCCAGCATGCTCCTGAAAGTACATTCACAGAGGTATCCAACAGTGCTCTGGATGGTAAATACTGTAAAACAGATGGAGGTGACATGATCTTCTCAATGTGCTTAGTATAGTCTTACTATGTAGGGAAGCCATACTTACATATGGCTCTCTATTTGCAAGGAAGCAAATAGAGAGCCATTTAGAAGATAAATGATGTTGAAGAGAGTGACTGGGATGCAGGTGAAACAGTATTTAGGGTCTGAGAAGGTAACATTTAAGAAGAGAGCTAAGCCGAAACTGGTTTGGCTCAGCGATGGAGCGTCGGTCTGCGGACTGAAGGGTCCCGGGTTCGATTCCAGTCATGGGCTTGTACGTTGGTTGCAGGCACATCCCCGGTGGGGGATGTGCGGGAGGCAGCTGGTCGATGTTTCTCTCTTCGACGTTTCTAGCTCTCTATCTCTCTCCCTTCCTCCCTGTAAAAAATCAATGAAATATATTTTTTTTTTAAAAAGAAGAAGAAGAGAGCTAAGACCCAAAAGCTGAGAAGCCACAGAGAGAACCATGAAAATGTTCCAGACAAAGGGAAGGATGGCCTGGGTGCTGAGGGAAGAAAGATTTGGAGAGTTGGACGAAAGGAAAGAAGGGCGGTAACATAACACAAAACAGCCTGTCTTGCATTCATTCAACAAACATTTGGTGCTGAACTACCAGCATGGAGTAAAGAGATAAAAGTTATCCACCAGGAATCCAGGTGCTGAACTACCAGCATGGAGTAAAGAGATAAAAGTTATCCACCAGGAATCCACATTCTAGTGGGAGGAAAGAGATAATAAACAAAAATAAATAATATAATATGGTAAAAGATGATGTAACCAAACCCAAGTTTGGCTGCTTGCCACCACAAAAACCACTCATTTGACAGGTGCTGGTGAAAGGGGAAAGAGGTATTAATCAAGTGCTAACCACCTGAGGAGATGGAGGACTGTTGTCACTAAGCTCTTCTCAACCATAGGCAGAGTTGTTGTTTTTTTGTTTTGGTGTTTGTTTGTTTTTAAATGAATTTTCATTGATTTTAGAGAAAGAGGGAGGAATAGGGAGAGAGAGAGAGAGAAATGTTGATTGAATGCCTCCTGCACATCCCCCACTGGTGATCAAGCCCACAACCCAGGTGCACTGGAAATCTCTTGGTGCATGAGATAAGATGCTCAACCACCTGAGGCACACTGGCCAGGGCCAGGCAGAGGCTATTATAAGGAGGGAGAGGCAAAGCATAACAAAGAAATCAAGGGAGTTGAAAAGTTCTCTCCTTGCAGTCCAGTCCATTCCAATAAGGACCTCAAAACTGGTCAAGTGATGGTCTAGTGTGTGGTGTGTTGTCCTAGTCTTCATCATCCTGGTTCTTTATCCTTCTGGTTCTATGTTTGAAGACCAACAGAACTCCCAGACCTGGCCCTAGCAGGTTTGGCTCAGTGGATAGAGCATTGGCCTGCAAACTCAAGAGTGCCGGTTTCGATTCTGGTCTAGAGCACATGCCAAGGTTGGGGGATGGATCGCCAGTGGGGGGTGTGCAGGAGGTAGCCAGTCAATGATTCTCATCATTGATGTTTCTACCTTTCTTTCCCTCTCCCTTCCTCTCTGAAATCAATAAAAAATATATTTTTTAAAATAATTTTTAAAAAATGAAAATTATATTTAAAAAAAAATTATAGACCTAGGATGACTGAAGGTCAGAGTCTGTATCTTCTGAAGTTAGTTCCTAGGATTTGCATACAAATATGCTGTTTATCTACAAGCTACATATTAGAGTCAGCATTTATAAAAACAATGCAAAAGAATAGTGGGGTGGCTTACAATTTTCCGTTGTTACAGTTCCCCACTGTCAATTTTTTTTTTCCGTTTCCATGAAAGTTAGGGGTTGTATTACAGAAAACTAGAAAAATTCAGGATCCAGTCTAGTTCATAAGTGAAAAAGAAAATTTTACAATTAACTGAAATAGAGTCTAATATTCATAACTGTGTATTATAGTTTCTATCGAGACATATCTTTTCTCCTAAAATCACCCTCATTTTTATCAAAGAGCCAAGTTAAGGCTAACTCATTTACCATATTAAGTCCAGTTTCAATTTGGCCTGATTGTTTGCATAAACAAAATAGGAATAGCAAATTGATCATATAGGTTTTTTAAATCTGCTTTGCTGGAATCTCACAAGAAAGTTTCCTCAGAACAAAGAAGCCAACTCACACAGTTGCCAGAAGGCTTTTCCTGCAATACCTATAGGTTTGGGTAAGTTCCTCAAGTTCTTGAGATCCCCAACATCCCCTTGCCATCTGCCCCTTACCTTGAAAGACTGCCATGAACCATCTATAAAAGCAAGGTGCCAAGCCATTTTTCCAAGGTTTTTTTTTTTTATAGGCTTCAGAGTTAAAGCCTTTTTGCTGATATCCAGAGTCTAGACCTGTCTTTCTCAAATTCTACCATTCCATTCAAAGTCTTGGTTAATAAAACAGTAATTGGGAATTGCCTTTATGTGTCGTTATTTTAAAAATCAGATTTCTATTGGGTTCATACAAATAAACATATTGCCATGAAAATAATAGTACTCCTTAAGCCGAAACCGGTTTGGCTCAGTGGATAGAGCGTCGGCCTGTGGACTGAAGGGTCCCAGGTTCGATTCTGGTCAAGGGCATATACCTTGGTTGCGGGCACATCCCCAGTAGGAGGTGTGCAGGAGGCAGCTGATCGATGTTTCTCTCTCATTGATGTTTCTAACTCTCTATCCCTCTCCTTTCCTCTCTGTAAAAAATCAATAAAACATATTAAAAAAAATACTACTCACTAAGAGTTTTTAAATTCTGGAAGGATAAATAGAAAAATATAAATGCTTTAATATTGCTTATCAAGGTACAATTTACCAACTTGCTCTAAGAAAACAAGTTTTTAAAAATCAGCAATATTTTGAACAGTCTTAATAAGAATAATAATTAGCTTCAGTTTATTCAGTCCCATAATTTTTGTTTATCCTGATTATTTGCTAATATTTCTATGAATCCAGTTATTCCTTGAGTCCTATAAGTTTTTATGTTTTAATGGAATCTGAAAGTTTACTGTCCAAAATTCATATATTAAAATAAATTATAAGATGTAACATTTTTGCAAATGCATCAGAGTAAAACAATGACTGTCTTTAAATGACAAAAAAAATACTTAAAATATCATGGTTATAGATCTGATTATAATGCAGTTCACTTTATAACAATACTTGAAGATAACACTCAGAATTACAAATGAAAGTATATCAGACTAAGAAATCAATTAATTTGTTCCTCACTGTCAATTGTACCCAGGTTCCAGGTTTCCTGTGGAGAAATTACAATGGTTTTGAAAAATATAAGGGAACTTCCTGGCCTTTAAAACTTGTCATTAAAATTATCATTCCTGTCATTAGGTCATGTGTCCAGATTTCAGGCTCAATCCCTCAGTGGGGAATGTTCGGGAGGCAGCCAATCACTGATTTTCTCATCATTGATGTTTCTATCTTTCCCCCACTCCCTTCCTCTCTGAAATCAATAAAAATACTTTTTCAAAAAAGAATGGAGGTTTTAACCAGACACACAGGCCACATATAATATACCATTTACATGAAACTACCAAAACAGACAAGACCACTGATATAAAATAGGTTCATGGTCATTAAGGGTAGGGGAAAATCGGCAGTGACTGCTAATGGTGTGGGTTTTGAGGGCGGAGTGGGGGGCGGGGGTGATAATGAAAATGTTCTGAAGCTTGTAACTGTGACTATACTAAAAAGCACTGGCCCTAGCCATTTTGGCTCAGCTGATAGACCGTCTATCAATGAGCCTTGGCTTGCAGAGAGAAGGTTCCCAGGTTCCATTCTAGTCAAGGGCACATGCCTCCTTTGCAGGCTACTCCCAGGTCCTGGTTGTGCAAGTGCAGGAGGCAGCCCAAGTGTTCCTCTCACATCGATGTTTCTCTCTGTCTTTCCCTCTCTCTTCCACTCTCTCTAAAAATCAATGGGAAGCCAAAAGCAGTTTGGCTCAGGGGATAGAGTATCCGTCTGCGGACTGAGGGGTCCCAGATTTGATTCCGGTCAAGGGCATGTACATTGTTTGCAGGCACATCTTCGGGGGTGGGGGGGGGAGTGTAGGAGGCAGCTGGTTGATGTTTCTCTCTCATTGATGTTTCTAGCTCTCTATCCCTCTCCCTTCCTCTCTGTGGAAAATCAATAAAAATATTTTTTTAAATCAATGGGAAAATATCTTCCAGTGAGGATTAAGAAAAAATAAAAAGCATTGAATTGTACATTTAAAAAAGATGAATTGTAGCCCTAGCCGGTTTGGCTAAGTGGATGGAGTGCCAGCCTACAGACTGAAGGGTCCCAGGTTCCATTCTGGTCAAGGGCACATGCCATGGCAGGGTTGCAGGCTCCGCCTCCAGTAGGGGGCGTGCAGGAAGCAGCCAATCAATGATAGTCTCTCATCATTGATGTTTCTATCTTTCCCTTCTTCTCTAAAATCAATTAAAAATATATTTTTTAAAAGACGAATTATATAGTGTGTGAATTATATCTCAGTAAGTCAGTTATTAAAAACAACCTCATTGAGAAGATGATATTTGAGCAAAGAATTGAAGGAGGGAATGAGCCCTATTTTGAAGTTTTTTCTTAAATAGTTGTGAGAACTTGGTATCAAACTCCTTATGTTCGAGTGATGTTGTGTATGTATTACTTCTCTTTTAGTACTAATATTTTGGCAAAATCAAGGGAAGAAATTGGCCCACTTCTGACCCCTGTATTCGGTGACTCCTAGCGCCCCAGGTTAAGCTCCAGGCCCCAGAGGGTTGTGGGGCCGCCCTCACCCGCGCCAGATCACCTCCGGGCCCGGCGGGAGCCCGGAGGAGGCAGGCCCCGCCCCCCACTTCGCCCAGGTCTCTTGCGCAACCACTGACTCCGCCCCTCTGGATCGTGGCTACGCGCATGCCCAGCGTGGCGTCGCGCACGCGCGCTCGGTAGCTCTCTTCGACCTTTGACCTGCCGGCCGCCCTTGAGCCGGGGCCGCGAGGCCTGGAAGACGGAGTCCGCGTCCCCGAGGCAGAGCGGCTGCCATGGTGAGGCCTGAGTCCGGGGCTGCGAGGCGGGGAGGCGTTTCGGGGCGAGGGCGGCGAGTTCCGGCCGGGCAGCAGGCGCCCCGTTCCCTTTACGTGCCCGGCGGGAAGCGGGGGCTAGGGCGTCGCACGTGGGGGCACCTATGCAGGCGCTGACGGCCTCGGAGCCGGGGAGAGCCGACAGCTGGAAAGCTGGGCGCCGGCGGACGCGATCGCGGTGCTCCAGCCGGTGTGGTGTGCGAGCAGCCTGAGGGGGAGCTCAGCCCTGCACCTGCAGGCGAGCCCCTGCTCTGTCCTGGAGCTAGTTGTTGGTGCGGTCCTATTATTGTCCCCATTGGAAGCTGGCAAAACGGCTCTGAGACTTTCACAATAAAGTGGTAGAACTGGCTGGGGCTTGAACCAGGCCCTGCGACTCTGAACACAGTGTTTCTGCGGAACCATTGGCACCTACAGCCAGTCCACACACTTGAGCCACACTGTGCGTCAGGTCACCTGGCACCCCCTTAAAAATGCAGGGTTCTGCCGAAACCGGTTTGGCTCAGTGGATAGAGCATCAGCCTGCGGACTGGAAGGTCCCGGGTTCGATTCTGGTCAAGGGCATGTACCTTGGTTGCGGGCACATCCCTGGTGGGGGATGTGCAGGAGACGGCTGGTCGATGTTTCTAGCTCTCTATCCCTCTCCCTTCCTCTCTGTGGAAAATCAATAAAATATGTATTTTTTAAAAAAAAATGCAGGGTTCTGCCCTGGCCGGGCATCTCAGGTCTTTACAGCGTCATCCCCATACCAATGAATGCATGAATGGGTGGAACAACAAATCTCTCTCTCTCCCTCTTCCTTGCTCTCTAAAATCAGTAAATTAAAAAAGAAAAATGTATACTTTTAAAAAATACAGGGTCCTGAGCTCTGCCCCCAATCTCAAAGTGAGGAAACACTACTTAACTGAAAGTGGTAAGGATAACATAAGAGCTTACAGGTGCCAGCCCCTGAGCTGAGGCTTTATGTAGATGTTCATATAATTCTTAAGTCAGTGCTCTCGCTATCCCCATTTCACAAGAGAAGGAACCAGAAGCTCTGCATGTCTGACTCCTCCAGGGTCATTCATCCCACAAGCATCTGAGATGGCAATGGCACCACTCCTTCTGTGTCCTAAGACTTGCTGTTTCCTATCACATTCTTCCTGCCTTGTAATAGTCAAGACTTGACGTTTCCCATCACATGATTTCTGCTTTGTAATAGTCACTGCCATTTAAAAAAATATATATATATATATATTTTTTAAAATGTATTTTATTGATTTTTTACAGAGAGGAAGGGAGAGATAGAGAGCTAGAAACATCGATGAGAGAGAAACATCGACCAGTTAGTTGCCTCTTGCACACCCTCTACCGGGGATGTGCCCACAACCAACGTACATGCCTTTGACCGGAATCGAACCTGAGACCTTTCAGTCCACAGACCGACGCTCTACCACTGAGCCAAACAGGCTTTGGCTTAAATATATTTTATTGATTTTTCACAGAGAGGAAGAGAGAGGGACAGAGAGTTAGAAACATCTACGAGAGAGAATCATTGATCAGCTGCCTCTTGCACACCCCCTACTGGGGATGTGCCTGCAACCCGGGTACATGCCCTTCACCAGAATCAAACCTGGGACCCTTCAGTCCACAAGCTGACGCTCTATCCATTGAGCCAAACCGGTTTTGGCATCACTGCCATTTGTTGAAGCCCTATGATGAGCCCTCACTGAAACTGTGTCCTTCACACTCACTCCCACATGTAACTCTGAGCCACCCTCAAGGGCTGAGTAAAATGTGGCTCTGGAGGAGTTTGTATCCTATAGGAAAAGGTAGGCCCGTCTGTAAATGATGACCACTTGATAATATATTAATAGGAAAAGAACGGGTCCTGTGGGAAGGTAGTAATGGGAGGAGACTGGGAAGATTTCACTTGGGTGGGGGTCATGTGACTAAGTCTTGAAGGATGTTGTATTTTGACAGTATTGGAGTGGAAGAGAGGATATTCAAGGTTCATGGGTATGGAGTTCTTCTGGGGGGTGATGGAAATGTTTTGGAACTAGTTATGATGGTCACACAGCTCTAAGTACACTAGAAAGCACTGAATTGTCCACTTTAGAAGAATGACTTATATGGTGTGTGAATTCAGAGCTGCAGAGGTTTTAGGTAAAGAAGGAGAGGAGCTGGATCTAGGAGTGAATGGTGGAGAGGGTGAGGGAAGAAGAAACCAGAGGAGTCATTTGTACCTTGACCCAAATGGAGAGTGGACTGAATTTGCAGGTGGTATTGGTGGAGAATTGTGTGTATTGTCAGGGGAGGCTAGAGCCCTCCTTCAGCAGAGGGTATGAGAAGCATTTGGAAATTCTATCTGGGACTTAGAGATTATGAGACTTCAGTTTGGCCAAAGCAGAGCTAATGGTGTCTTGGTTAAATGTCACATTCATTCAAATATGTATTAGGCACCTGCTGCACCAGCCACCGGCCAGGCCCACACACACCATGGTGAATTGGACAGTTGTGGTCTGCCCCCTCCTGCTTAGTTGTGAAACAGCTGTTTGCAGGGGCCCTGTGTGAACAGAGCCCCCTTCCTGTTCAGTGCATCCTTGAAAGAAAGGGGTGAATCTCAGTGGCTGTCTCTGAACTGTTCCTAGAAGGAAGCATTGCACATGGGTTTGTCTGAAAGCCAAGCTCCCTTCTTGATGCACTTGATTTGGGATAAACCACACTCCGGAGTGCGCTCCCACCTGCACACTACTGCCCTCCTTTGCCCCACTGGAGCTTTGGCCCTGCATCAGGCCACGATGCTTCCCAGGTGAGAAAGCATGTGTGCTGTCCACAGTGGTCCCAGGCTTGGAATCCTGTGGCTCTGACCCCTGCTCCTTAACGGTCAGCTTGGCCTGAAGTTGGATGCTGTGTCAGCCAATTGCTCTGGCCCAGGGTCTTCAGGCCCAAATGTCAGTCTGTGGACTATATGGGCTTTCTGAGAGAGGCCTCAGCCAGTGGCTCTTTATCATCTCTGGTAGCTGTAGTTGGCAGGATTTTTCTCCCCATCAATCTTCAGCGCTGAGCATAGTTGACCCACAGTTGGTGCTTAGCAGGTGTCTGGGTTTTGAACAGATGGATGAGAGACTTGGCTATACCCCTGATCTCTAGATTATTCAACACCAAGTAGGACCTGGTCCAGAAGCAAAGGCAGCTGTTGAATTGCCCTGGACCTGCCACTCTCTCTCTGTCCTCTTGGTCTTATGTGCCTTGCCTCCTGAGGGTCTCACAGCTCTCCTGTGAGAAAGGTATTATTCTCCCCGTTTTGCAGATAAGAAAATTGAAATTCAGCCCTGGTTGGATAGTTCCTTCAGTTGAGCAGTGGTCGGCAACCGCGGCTCAGCTCTTTGGCCCCTCGAGTGTTCCAGCGCCACTTCAAAGTAGACTCGCCCAGGCCAAAAACCGACTTCTGCACATGGGCCACGAAGTTTCAGTCGCACTGCACGTGGTATTTTTTTTTAAATATATTTTATTATTTTTGTACAGAGAAGAAGGGAGAGAGATAGAGAGCTAGAAACATCGATGAGAGTCATCGACCAGCTGCCTCTTGCACGCCCCCTACTGGGGATGTGCCCGCAACCAAGGTACATGCCCTTGACCGAAATCAAACCCGGGACCTTTCAGTCCCCAAGCCGACGCTCTATCCACTGAGCCAAACCGGTCTCGGCTGCACGTGGTATTTTGAGAGCCACACTCAAGGGGCCAAAGAGCAGCGGTTTGCCGACCACTGAGTTAGAGCATTGTCCTAACATGCCAAGGTTGTAGGTTCAAATTCCTGGTCAGGACATAGAAGAATCAACCTCTGAATGTGTAAATAAGTGGAACAGCAAATTGATGTTTATCTCTTTCCCTAACCCCTCCCTTCATCTCTCTAAAATCAATAAATAAACATTAAAAAAATTCAAGTAGGTTGAGTAATTTGCCCAGTGCCACACAACTAACCAGAAGCAAAGCTGGGGCTCTTTGATTCTCTCTCATCATTGATGTTTCTATCTCTCCCTCCCTCTCCTTCTCTGAAATCAATAAAAATATATTTTTAAAAAGAAGCAAAGCTGGGGCCTGGCTGGCGTGACTCAGTGGTTGAGTGTAGACCTATGAACTATAAGATCAAGGTTTAATTCCCAGCCAGGGCACATTCCTGGGTTGCAGGTTCAGTCCCCAGTTGGGGAGGTGCATGAGGTAGCCAATTATTCTCTCTCATCATTGATGTTTCTCTTTCTCTCTCTCTCTCTCTCTCTCTCTCTCTCTCTCTCTCTCTCTCTCTCTCTCTCTCTCTCTCTCTCCCCCTCTCCCTTCCTCTCTGAAATTGATACAAATATATACTTTTTATTTTTTAAATATATTTTATTGATTTTTTTTGCAGAGAAGAAGAGAGAGGGAGAGAGTTAGAAACATCAATGAGAGAGAAACATCCATCAGCTGCCTCCTGCACACCCCCCACTGGGGATGTACCTACAACCAAGGTACATGCCCATGACCAGAGTCGAACCTGGAACCCTTCAGTCCGTAGGCTGAGGCTCTATCCACTGAGCCAATCCGGTTTCGGCTTTTTTTTTTTCTTCCCCAAAGCAGCGTTCTCACTGCTTTCACATTGTTTCTGAGGTCCCTGGCTTTTTGCAGCCTTCTCCCCTGAGTAATTAGAGAATCTATCAAATGAGCTGCTTTATTGGGAGAAGCTTTGTTACTCCTAAGTACTAGTGACTGGCCATTGTTAAGTTTTGTTAAACAATATTAATAAATGAAAACCAATATTTACTGATCACCTACTGTGTCATCAGGCTCTGTATCAGGCACTTACACTCATTTAACCCTGAGGTAATTAAATTAGCGCCATTGTCGGGGAGGAATCGGAGGCTCAGGGAGGTTAAGGACTGTTCAGGGCACACAGCTGGGATTTGCACACAGGCAATCCCAAAGCTTGCATACGTAACCACTATACCATACGCTTCCGCTGGGAGTTGGCTCTCACAGGAACCTTGTAGTCTAATTCAGCTGACCAGGCAGCTTCCTTAGCTACTGGGAAAGTGCAGAACAGCCCAGCCTTCCCCGAAGCCATAGAGTTCTGGCAGCTGGAACCATGGATCCACCATGCCACTTTAGTTTGAAGCCTATAGGGGATGTTTGAGGAATTGCCCATTATAGCATTGTTCTTAACATTCATTTTTTTTAGCAACAGTTACCCTGAGCAGAGAACAAGGTGATACAATGGTGTGGTACTCAGGCCTGTGGCAGCAAAGGAAGATATGTTCTGAAGGTTGAAGGTGCCAGGCCAAGGAAAACCTGTGGAGTCACCTAGTGGCCTGTCAGTCTCTCTGTCACTCAGACAGGACCAGCAATGCCTCCCATCCCACTTGAGAGTGGCTTTAGGTGGGGTTGGGGAGTCAGGTGAGGCTTTGCAGTCAATAGCGTTGTCCATTGTTAGTCTTGACACCTGCAAGGCAGCTGGCTGGAGCCCTCGTCACAGGAGTCTTCACTGTGCTTTGGTTTCTGGTGTGAAATACAGGGCTTATGAAATTTCCACCCACTCGTGAAATCCAAACCCACTTCCATTTATTAATTCCTGACTACGGCCCAGAATTACTAGGGAAGGGGAGGTTCAAGGGAGGCCAAACAAAGCCAGTTCTGGAGTCTGGATTCCACTGGAGTCTGACAAGACCCTCTGGCCTCTGGGTGGGGTCCTTGCTCCTTGTCGGGTGGCATTGTCGCCCTTCCTGAGATCCCAGAACTCTGTGAGACGGGCGACCTAGGGATGCCATGGCTGACAGCACCGGCTTTGGGATCCTTGCCCACCTTCCCCTGAGTACTACTAGCTGTGTGTCCTTGGGCTGGTCTCTAAATACCACTGTGCTTTAGTGTCTTTTTTTGTTTTATTCTTTTTGTGTTGTTCATTTTTATGTCTCGGTGTCTTGAGTTGTTAGGGTTAAATGGCACAATAGCCCTAGCTGGTTTGGCTCAGTGGATAGAGCGCTGGCCTGTGGACTGAAAGGTCCCAGGTTTGATTCCAGTCAAGGGCACATGCTGGGTTGCGGGCTCGATCGCCAGGAGGCAACTGATTCTCATCATTGATGTTTCTATCTCTCCCTCTCCCTTTGTCTCTTAAATCAATAAAAATATTTGTTAAAAATATTAGGTAATAAAATAAATAGCACAATAAACACTGTGTTTGGCGTGGTGCCTGTCACTCTTGCTTAGATGATACTTGTTGACTGACAGGAAATCTAAAGACAGAAAAGTACAAAGAACAGGGAAACCACTGGGATGTGCCCCACGAACAGTGCTGACCTGAGTGAGCATTCTCCAGGTGTCTTCTACACACCCAAGTTTGTGCATCTCACACACACAGTCATTTTCACATGTGCAGGCTGTCTGTAACCTCTGTTCACAGTAAGATCTCATTTGCCCATCTCAGCCACCTTCCTGGCCCCCTAGGCTCCTGGCTGCTGCTACCTGGACATTCCTTATGCTTTCTCTCGGTTTTGACTCCTGGTCCCTCTTGCCCCAGTATTCCCATCATAATTCTACCTGCCCTGTAAAACCCATCCCAGTAGAAACACTATTGTCTTCTAATAGCCCCATCTCATTCCTGGGTCCATCCATGCCTCTGGCCACGTGCTGAATGAGGCTCCCCACTTGCTTCTGGGGACCCATGTGGTCTCAGGGTGAACACTGCCATGTGGCACTGCCTTGGAGGGTTTCCCTGCAAGGCCTGCTGGGTGTGGGAGCTCCAAGGACAGGGGCCCCTGCATCTTTTTTTTTTTTTTAATGTAATTTTATTGATTGATTGTTTGAGTTGGGGGGGGGTGGAGGTGAGAAATTGATTTGTTGTTCCATTTATTTATGTATTTATTGGTTGACCCCTATCTGTATGTGCCCTGACCAGGGATTGAACCCACAACCATGGAGTATAGAAATAACACTCTAACCAACTGAGCACTTGGCCAGAGTTGGGCCCGTGTATCTTTGTAGTCTATATGTTGCCTCTCAGTGAGCCAGTGGTACAGAAACTGAACCTTCCCTCGTTACTTGGTCCTTGATGTGTTCGTCTAAATGCCTGCCTCATGGCCTTTCCCTCCTGGAAGGTAGTTTTTGCTGTGTTGTGCTGCATAGAGTTCACTTGAATAGTGTTGGAGAAATTAGAATGTCACCAGTAGAAGGAAGGTTGGACCAGCTGGTCCCAGAAGCACAGAAAGTGCCCTCGTTGGCCTAGATGCCAAAGTGAGTTAGTGGTCAGTCTGGGACTGGCCCAGTTCTGGCTCCTGGCCACAGTATTATTCCTGAAGCCAGTGGCCTCTGTGCCCTGCAGCCAAGTGGTGTGCCTCTGGGGACTTGGTCAGGTTTACCCCCTTACCTACTCTCTCATGAACACCTGAAGCCACCCAAAGTAGCTTTTCAGTAGAAAAAGGCCTGTGGCCGAAACCGGTTTGGCTCAGTGGATAGAGCGTCAGTCTGTGGACTGAAAGGTTCCAGGTTCGATTCCGGTCAAGGGCATGTACATTGGCTGCGGGCACATCCTTGGTGGGGGGTAGGCAGGAGGCAGCTGGTCGATGTATCTCTCTCATCTATGTTTCTGGCTCTCTATCCCTCTCCCTTCCTCTCTGTGAAAAATAAATAAAAATATTTCAAAAGAAAGAAAGAAAAAGGCCTGTGGCTGCTGTTCTGTATTTTATTACCTCAACTTTCTGGGGGCCACTTAGCAGCCATTTCTAGGGTGCCATCTTTGGGGCTGCAGCCTGCTAACCAGATGCCTGCTTTGCCAACAGGCCAAGTACCTGGCCCAGATCATTGTGATGGGGGCGCAGGTAGTGGGCAGAGCCTTTGCCCGGGCCCTGCGGCAGGAATTTGCAGGTAAGCTTGACCCCTGTCTTCCCCTAGGGTGAGAGCTCCTGCCCAGGTCAGATTTCCCCATAGCAACGAGCCCTCGAGCCCTCGCATGCTGGGCCAGTTGTGAATGCAGTTCTGTGGGTTGGGGTTCTAGCAGCTTGGGTAGCCTAGGGCATTTCCCATGGTTGGGGGCAATGATGGACTGTGAGGTATTCCCATAGAGAGAGACCTGGTTAACATGAGCATACAGGCAGGAGTTGGCAAACTGGCCTCCCTAGCCATCTGTTTTTGTAGGTAAAGTTTTATTGGAACAAGCTACACCCTCTGGCTGCTTTTAAGACAGAGTCCAACATGGACCAATAGGCCTGCAAAGCTCTCAGATCCCTTAAGTAAAAGTGTACTGGCTTCTGAATCTAGGGTCATTGAAAAGGAAGTGGTCGCTGGAGGCAGCTGCGTTGGTGTCCTAGGTAACCAGTGGGCAGAGTTATTGCTGCCTCCCCTTCCCCATAACTTCGCTCTGCTCCCCTTAGCCTAAAGATCCCCAGCTTTCTATGTGCCCAGATGAGGGAGCAATAGAGAAAAGAGGGACAGGGTAATTTTTGTGGTCTAGTCTGGGCTCCAGGTTTGGTGACTAGACCCTGACCCCTAGTGGAGCGAATTGGTCCTCACTTCGATACCCCTCCAATACTACCTCCCCCCAAAAAAAGAAACCACTCCTGGAGAAATGCCCTCTGGCTGCTTCTGACTCCGTGTGTCACTTGGCAGGGGTGAGCCACCTACATGGAAGACCAGGTGAGCTCTGGGCTGCTGAGGGTTGAGCACTAACCCACATGTTTACACAGCCAGCCGGGCAGCAGCTGATGCCCGGGGACGTGCCGGACACCAGTCTGCAGCCGCCTCTAACCTCTCCGGCCTCAGCCTCCAGGAGGCACAGCAGATTCTCAATGTCTCCAAGCTGAACCCCGAGGAGATCCAGAAGGTGAGGCCACGGGGCTGACTCTGAGACAAGCAGACCAGAAAGCGGGAGGGGGTGAGGGCGGGCCAGCCACATGGGGAAAAAGTAAAGGAGGTCTGGCATGAAGGGCTGGGGCAGACTTTGGGCACAGCCAGCTGGGAATCCCAACTTGTGGGACCCAGTGTCCCTTGTTAGTTTTCAGGCCCAAGGGAGGCAGTAGCAGCCAAACTCCTCCTCCTTGGGTACCTGATTGCCTTTCTGCCCTTAGTAGTTGTAGTAGCTTCCTGTGTGGAGTTTCAGGCATGCCGGGCAGCGGGATCGAGCCCTTTTGCTTTCCTTCTTTGTCATCTCCTAGCTTCCCCCGCCTCTGTAACCCAGAGACTGCACACCTCTCACCGTGTCCCCTCCTCTGCAGAAGTACGAACACCTCTTCAAGGTGAATGATAAATCTGTGGGCGGCTCCTTCTACCTGCAGTCAAAGGTGAGTAGTGTTCGCTGCTGGGAGGAGGGCAAGCCATGTTCCAGATAGTTCAGAGCTTGGGAGGTAGAAAGATGTGCGGGCCTTTCCCTGGTGCCCCAGCCTCACTGTCATGCCTTCTGGCTGCCTCGGCTGTCGGGTTCTGTCAGACTGAGCCCTGCAACAGCCTGGACAATGGCCCTCCCAACAGCCATGACTTGAAGGGAAGAGGACCATTAGCTGGTGGATTGCTAGAAGCAGCTCCAGATCCCATGTGACAGTCCACATGCCCTGGGCGGTCTCCTTGTATGGGGAAGTCCCCAGGCCATCTTTCCCACCCCAGGCACTAGACCTGCCTCCTGCTGCTGGGACTCACAGCTGGAATGGGACAGCTTGTGCAGGCCGCCGCCCTATCTGGCTGTTTGTAACTCCTTCCCCAGGTGGTGCGAGCGAAGGAGCGCCTTGAGGAGGAGCTCCGAATCCAGGCCCAGGAGGACAGAGAGAAAGAGAAGAGGCCACAGACGTGACCACGTGGCTCCCCCCCCCCCTTCCACCTCTAATTTATAGCTCGTTAATAAATGTCTTTTCTGCATTTCTCAGTCTGCTCTTCCTGCCAGTCATGGGCTGGTGGGAGAAGGGCAAGGGGCTGAGTGGGTAAGTTTGGCAAGAAGTTAGGCAGCCTACCCTCTTGGCCCTGCCTGCCTGTGGAGAGCGAGCCAGGTACTGTTATGTACTGGACACAGCCACTCCTGCTGTCGGTGCCAGCACCAGGTCCCTCCTATAGTATGACCATCCTTGGATCTGCCGCTGCCCTTCTCACCTGGGGACAGAGCCCTGGGCACCCAAGCTCTGTCACAGAGCAGCTTTCCACAGCTGAGCTTGACTCTGGCATCTCAGTGATTTGGGCAGAATGCTCCATGTACAGCTAGGGAAGAGAAGCCTCGTTGCTCTGAGGCCCTGGAGCTGGGTCTTCCTAAGGGCTAAGCTCCTCACCAGAGAGAGCCACACCAGAGCCACACCAGAGAGGTTCTGCAGGACAAGCAGCTAAGCCTGTGAGCTTTGTCCGCAATCTTGCTTTTTAGCTCCTAGCACTCCTGCTCCTCAGCATCTGATTCCTCCCAGCTCCCAGCAGAATGAGAGGTGATGGCACTCACAGGGTTAGGAGGAAGCCCCAGAGTGACCTCGAGGTGCTGCAGGCTGTTGTGGGAGACCTTAGAGCCGGACACAGGACAGTTGGAAGTGGTTTCTTGTTGGGTGGCCCAGCTTCGGGAACATGCACAACAGAAACCATCTTTGCAACTCACTTTTATTGTTTCTTTATAAAATTCCTCTCACATGGAGGAATATATTGTTATAGTCATTAGCTTATCTTTTTTTTATTTTTTAAATTTATTCTATGCTAACAGCAGTGGAGCCAAGAGGAGAAAAAACATAAGCTACGATAGAAAGGCACTTAGAACCTGTTAAAATACTGATATCCTGGAATGTGCAACAACAAACCAACAACAACACATACACCAGCTCTCTTGAGCCTGGTCTATCACTGAGTCACATGCTGAGCTAATGTCATCTTCCAGTGCCCTGTTCCTCTGCTCCCTGGGCTTCAGTTGCAAACCCAAACCCCTCATCCCCCAACTGGGGACTTTAAAGGCCTGGGGCCCTTCATGGGGTGGGGATGCCTGGGTCCTGGGTGGGGCCTGAAGGAGACCAGCTCCTTCCTGTTCTGCTCGCAGCCCCTTAGAGAGGCAGAGCCAGCACTGCCAGGCCCTGTCAGGGCAGGCTGGGTCAGGGTGACCCCTCTAGGACAGAAGGGCAGTCCAGAAAAGGGTAGGGGTCAGCAGAGCTGCTGAGGAACAGTAGGGGGACTCTGGAACCGCAGGGCTACTAGGACCCCACTGCTGTCCTGCAGCTCCCTTGTTCTGTCAGGGAAAGGGAAGGATTGCTCACTGATGCCAAGGACCGGGGATTGGTACAGTGAGGGTTCAGGGTGGGGAAAGCACTTGCTGCATCCCCAGGCCTGGTGGGAAAGCCCATTCCCTAGGCCAGGTAGCGGGCACCTGGAACACCAGCATCCTTGGCTTATTCTGGCCCCTGGGATTTAAAAAATGTCTAGGACAGGGGCTCAGCTGGAAGAATCCAAAGGACACAGCATGTCATAAGTCCAGGCTTCCACCAACTTCCCCTCCCAAGTGGAGGGGCTGGGCCCCCCATAGCCAGTCTTGACTGCTTCACCATCCCCCCAGGCCCCAGGCCTCAGACCATGGCCTCTGGGAAGCTCCCGTGCCCAGCACTGGCCTGTCGCCCTCCCTTACTGTGTGCTGGCTGTGACCTGGCACCCCCAGATGAGAACTGTCCCAACCTGGGGTCATCCCCAGCCAGCTTCCAGCCTCCTACCAACCCGCAGGTGTCTGCAGCCCCAAGTGCAAGAGGGACATTGCCCCCGGCCAGGCCCACCCCACCTGTTCCCTGAGCCAGGCCTGCCCGAGGTCCTGGCACCTCCCTTCCCCACACTCCAAGGCTCCCTATAAGGTAGAGCGGGGAGGCCAGTGGTAAAGAGGCAGCTGAGTGGTCAGCTGTTCCCTCATTTCGGAGAGCACCGTCCAAACCAGAGAAGCTGCTTCGGATAGTAGGTAGGTGATGAGAGGCAGGGGGCAGAGCAGGCCTCCCTCTGAGCAGGAGGCACCTTGTCATAAGGATAAGGTGGCTCTTCCTGTGGCTTTGCAGGGGGCTGCATTTGTCTTGCTCTCCCTCTGGACGGTGGGCCAGAGGGAGAGGGGTCCAAGGAGCCCCCAGAGCAGGAGCCTGGTGAAATTAGGCAGGATGGGTAGGGGCCTCAATCCCAGGGCCCCTCGTCACAGTTTACCACACAAAGGGGTGCAGAAGCCCTGGGCCGGCAGAGGGGGTAGATGCCACCCCACCTGCCCCCACCTGCTGGGATGTGGCTGGCAAGTGACGAAGGAGGGAGGGAGGGTGACCTGTCCAGGCCACTGGGTGAGGGAGGCACCAGGGTGGACAGGGCCAGGAGACTGAGGGCTGGAGGTGAGCAAGGTCTCAGCACCCAGGGGCTCAGGTCTCCCTGGCCAGTGGGAGAAGGTCCCTTGGGAGCCTGGGACCCCAGCAATGACCTAGCACCATCCTTGCCACCCAGCTTGTCTGGGGCAGGGGCTGCCGGGGGCAGAAGGACATTATTGCTATTTCGCAGAAAAGGTTCTGTTCGTCGTGAGCATCGGGTAGTTGTCCCTGGGATGAGTTCAATTCACCACAGCCGGTTTGAGCAGCACAGAGCCAGGCGGGATGACCACCCAGCCAGGGGTCAGGGCCTCTGGGCTGCTGGCCGCCGAATTGACGCCCGTGGACAGGTCGAGCACGGTGCCGGGCAGCAGGGGGAGTCCTTCCGGGCTGGGCCGGGAGCGGCCACTCTCAGTCCTCTCCAGGGGGGTCTTACGGCCCTCCAGACCAAGGGCCCTGACTGGCACTGCCCCACGCCCCTTCTCCCCCTCGGCCTTGCCACCCGTGGAGCCAGCCAGGAGGGAGACCATAGGCAGGCCTAGTCCACCAACCCCAAAGGGTGAGGGCATCAGAGGGTTCTTGGCCAGATTGAGGGGTAGGACAGGGCCTGGCAGGTCATGGCCCATGCCCGCCCCACTCCCCCCACCCCCACCATTGCCACAGGCCAGAGCACTGAGGTCAAGGGGGCCGGGGCCCAGGGGCAAGGGCAGGCCGGGCAGGCCAGGGCCTCCAAAGAGGGCAGCGGGGTTGGGGATGATGATCTGGGCCCCACTGACATAGGGGCTGCCGTCGGGGGCAGGCAGTGGTGGTTTGGGGGGCGGGCGCAGTTGTAGGAGCTCCTGCTGCTCATGGGACACGAAGTGGCCGTGGGCCTTGATGTGCTTGCGCAGCGAGCTGGGGTCCGTGTAGCGCTTGTGGCAGCCGGGCATCTTGCAGTAGTAAGGCTTGTCCACGTAGTGGGTGCGAGTGTGCTTGAAGCGGTCACTTGAGTTGGAGTAGCGCTTGTTGCAGCCCTCATACGGGCAGACGTAGGGTTTCTCACCTGTGAGTGGGGCTGGAGTGAGAGGTCTCCCAGCCCAGGGTCCTGCCCACACCTACTACCTACTTGGCAGACCCCAGACCAAGATGTCCTTGAAAGTACAGACTCTCATTTGAGGAGCGGTGTCCTCAGCACTTGGCATGAGATGTGATGCCAGGCAGGGGCAGCAAGGCACTGAAAAGCCAGCCTGGTTACCCTCAGGACCCCTGTGCACTGACTGCGTGCCCGTGGCCTTAGTGCTGTGCTTCAAACAGCAGGTGACAGCAGCCACGTCAATAGGAGAACCACGACCTGATTACAGTCTTCCATAAAGCCCCTACTAGCGGCAGGCCCACAGTGAGCACTGCACGAATGCCGGCTGCCCTCTATGCAGCCTTTACTCAGCAGAATGGCTCCCGATTTACTAAACGTCTGCTCCCTCACTGACCAGGGTGGAGCCACGTGGGGCTCTGGGCCTTTGAAGCGTGGCCACTCCAAATGGAGATGTGCTGTGAGTGTGAAGCACAGACCAGATTCTGCAGACTTCAGATGAAATGAAGGTTTTCAATGTCTCATAGATATGTTTTTGATTTTGAAATAATACTTCGGGCATAATTGGGTTCCAGAAAATATATGATTATAGTTCATTTCACCTATTTCTTTGTAATTTAATGCAGCGATTAGGAAATTTAAAATCAGGTGTGTGGCTCTGTTGGCCAGTGCTGGCCCTACTGTGTGCTGGGTTATGGTGAGGAGCAAAACAGACATACTGAGTGCAATCACAGGTGGCGTGAGTCCAATAATCTTACAAACAACCATGCCGAGTGTGGCGGGAAGACCTGTCTGTGCTCGGTTTATGGAGGCCTCCCCGAGCAAGTGGAGCTTGAAAAGGGACCAGTCAACAATGGGATGCATCCCTGTCTCTCAGGTGCCTGCCCGGCTGCTACCCTCCAGCACCCCCTCTCACCTGTGTGTGACCGGTTGTGGATTTTCAGGTTCTCCAGGCGGGAGAAGCTCTTGCTACAGGTGGGGCAGCGGTGCGGCTTCTCGTTGGTGTGTGTGCGGATATGGATGAGCATCTTGTACCTGCTCCAGAGAGGGCATAGAGCACGGCTCAGCTCAATGGACACCCGTGCCCCCTCCCTCCTGCCAGCTCTAGCCCTTCCTCACCTGGCATTGAAGCCTCGGCCGTGACGGGCACAGCCTTCCCAGTGGCAGCAGTACCCCGCATCCTTCTCTGGCTTGACGTGGTAATCGTTAACATGGTCCACCAAATCTTGCAGGAGCTCGAAGAGCTGGTTACACTGCGGGGCCAGGGAGGGTTCTGAGCCCATGTGAGGCCACCTGCCCCAGGCCTGTCCCACTCGTCCTGGCCCCCACTCACCTTGGCCCAACGACAAACCAGCTGCTTGTGTAGGGGTAGCTCCGGTGAGAGGCACTTGTCCTTTGGGGGGGTGAGGAAGGAGGAAGCAGGCAGATGCAGGGCTCCCCCCGAGCCCAGAGGCAGGAAGAACTGGAAGGAGCTGGGGACACTGTCCAGGTAGCGCAGCGGCTGGAAATCCTGGGAGGAGAGGGCGAGGGGCAGAGGTGGTCAGTGCCCCACGGGGCCAGCAGGCCCAGACCCCTTCTGTCTCCTACAGCAAGGTGAGCTGTCCCCACAATATGCCCTGGTCCTAACCCCCAGTACCAGTTGTCCCCACAATATGCCCTGGTCCTAACCCCCGGTACCAGTTGTCCCCACAATATGCCCTGGTCCTAACCCCCGGTACCTGTGTGTGTGACCTCATTTGAAAATAAGACCTTTGTAGACGTGATCAAGTTAGCAGTGTGGTCTAGACAGGGTGGGAAGAGGGGTTCCTAAATCCAGTGACCAGTCTTCATAAGAGAAAGAAGGAGATTTGGATAGAGACACACAGAGGGAAAGAGGCCTTGTGACCACAGACAGAGATTGGAGTGATGTAGTTCAAAACCCACACCTCTTCCTTACCGGGGCGGTAGGGACTGTGGGCAGGTCACCGTTGCCTTGGCGCTCGGGGGACAGCGAGCTGCTGCCATTGGGAGAGTCCAATCCCGATGATGGTGACAAGCTGAGGTCTACCAGCGGGGCCGCTGAAAAGCGTCCCTCCACCTTCTCAGGGAACTTGGGGTTCAGTAGGAAGCCTAAAAGAGAAGCACAATTCAGGGGTGCTGGAGTCAGGAGTCCTGGTGGGCTAGGCCCTCCCGCCTCCGAATCCTAAGCCATGGCCCTGGAAGCAAACCCCAGGCATGCCCCACCCTGATCACCTGGGACCCCAGGTATCTGAGCAACAGCCCATATAACTGACAAAGGTGATCTTGGCCATCATGAGAGCTCGGCCATCAGTTGACATGAAAAGTGGGAAGTATCCATTTTGCAGCTAGAATGATCTGGTACGCAGGGTGAGCAACTGACTAGGAATGTGAAGCTAGGAGCTTCCCATCACCCATCTGCCTCAGTGCTCCCCTCTGAAACGAGAGGTTTGGGCTAGGATAGCTCAGAAGGGGTAGATGTGCTTTTCAGGAGCACCAGAGGCAGAGCAGAAGGCCTGGGCCCGAAGCATCCTAAGGAACTTGCTGGACGAGGTGCCCAATCTCTACTGACCTGCTGGCCACCCACACTGCCTCAAAGCCCGGGAGCTGGGTCTCAGGGCCTTTTATTACCACATAGAAACTCTGCTTCCCATTATCAGCTACTCCAACTCCTCCCAGAGACCTCAACCTGAATCCTGACTCTGCTGTCCCAGCTTGGTAAACTAGGCAGGTAACTTCCTTCCTCGTGGGACAATGTGACCTCCAAAGATAAACTGCTGGACGGATGAATGGCAGAGTGTGGGGAGCACTCTAAGCCAGGAGCTGTGAGGGACTGCAGTTACGTCCCGGTGGGCACACCTTGGACATTCTTTCTGTTGCCCCAGCTCCATCAGGCCCAGAGACCATGGCCCTGACCCGGTGCAGTACCTGAGGGCGGGGAGCCCGGGGAGCATGGAGCGGGGCTGTCATCCACCAGGCCAAGCTCCCTGTGCAGAGCTCGGTGCCGGACCACGCTCAGCGTCCTCTCCCGCTTTTCTCTCGCCGCCCGGAGCTTGGTGATGCTCAGCTTCAGGTCAAGCGGCTCGTCCAAGGAGTGCATAGTGATGGGGGCTGGGGCTGGGTGGCAAGCTGGTATTCAGGCAGGAACCTAGGGGAGGACAGGAGCTGTGCTGTGACACTGTGCTCCCAAGTCCTCCTTGGGCTACACTCATTAAAGCCCACAGGACAGGGAAGCAGTGTGTATGGAGCTGTGTGAAGGCTCTCTCCCCAGGCAGGGAAACCTGAGTGGTCTGGCCAGCAGGTATAAAGAGAGCCGACCATCTACTCAGATCTTCCATGTCCACTTCCCACAAGTCTTTTCTGGCAGGCAAAGCTCCAAGAGTCCGTTTTGCCATAAAACTGAGTTTGAGACCCTGCCCCAGGTCAGAGCTAGGAAGTGGTAGAGCTCAAGGTCAGATCTCCCAAGAAATAACCAGCCAAGTCCCAAAGGTCATTTCTGACTGAGTGGCAAGTCATGCCTGAAGCACATGCCTGGTTTGAGCCAAAAGACCAAACACCAGGCCTGAGGAGCCATAGGTGTTCTCCCAGGTGGCCATGAGAGGTCCGCAGCTACTGACTGCCGAGGGCCCATGGTGCCGGGCCCGTTGGGATCTGTGGTCAGCCCTGAGGGAACAAGCTGAGAGATGGCTGAGCAAAGCCTGGCCCCAAGGGATGGGGGTGCAGGCAGGTGGCACTGCCTCACAGGCGAGATAGAAGAGGTGCCCATAGGCACAGGGAGCCAGAGGGCTCTGCCGCCACTAGGGGGCAGCTGGGGGCTGTGGCCCAGCCAGGCCAGCCAGGGGCAGGGTTGGAAGGAAGCGGACCAGCTCTGGTGCCTAGTAAAATATATGCATATATTTTTTTGTGTGTGTGTGTGATGACATTTTTTTTATTATGAGTTCTCATGCTGGAATTTTCACCATTTTCTTAGAATGTCTCAGTGATATAATTTTCTTCACATAAATGACCCAAAAGCAAGGTCTACTCTTCATTCCAAATCAAAACTTCTCACAGAGGCAATCTTCTCACACGTGGGGAAACAGTCACAGTGTTTCTTTACATTTGTTCATTGAGATGACTACTTTCTGAAAATCCATCTGCTAAACAAGCCAACACTGAGATACCCTGTTCCCCGAAAATAAGACAGTGTCTTATATTAATTTTTTCTCCCAAAGTTGCGCTAGGTCTTATTTTCAGAGGATGTCTTATCTTTCCATGCGCTAGGTCTTATTTTCGGAGGATGTCTTATTTTCGGGGAAACACGGATACTATATCCCTGCCATTCACTGAATCCAGGTTTTCACAATTTAATACAGAATAATCCCATAAGCACCATGTGGTAAGAGCCTTTGCCTATCTTGTTTGGGAGCCAGTGTTGCCTACAGATGCCTACAGAGCTGTGTGGTGCTCTCTCCTCGGAGCAGGAGTGGGTGGCAGCCCCCACATCCCCACCTCGTTTTCCCCAGGTCAGGCCCCTCAGCAACTGTAAACAGTCCTCACCCAGCTCCAAGCCCTGGCTCACCTGTTTCCTAGGACAAGCTCCACTTTTTTGTTGTTAATCCTCACCCAAGGATATTTTTTTCCCATTGATTAAAAAAAAAAAATATATATATATATATATATATATATATATATATATATATACACACACACACACACACGCGTGCGCGCGCGCACACACACACACACACACACACACACACACACACACTTATTGATTTTGGAGAGGAAGGGACAGAGACAGAAACATCAATAATGAGAGAAAATCACAGACTGGCTGCCTTCTGCACACCCCCCACTGGGGATCAAGCCCACAACCCCGGGCATGTGCCCTGACCGGAATTGAACCTGGGACCCTTCAGTCCACAGGCCGACACTCTATCCACTGAACCAAACCAGCCAGGGCTTCCCGTTGATTTTTATAGAGAGTGGAAGGAAGGGAGAGAAACGTTAATGTGAGAGAGACACATGATTGGTTGCCTCCTACACACGCCCATTCGGAATTGGACCTGCAACCCAGTTAGATGCCCTTGACTGGGAATCGAACCCAAGACCCTTCAGTGAGCGGGCTGACCCTCTAAGCACTTAGCAGCACCGGCCAGGGTGAGGCCAAGCTCCACTTTTGCTAAGACCCTCCAAGCACGCAGAGAACTTAGGACCCTCAGCTTCTGGGGACACATACAAAGGCCCACCAGCACATGCCAATACTAGAGTCTCTAAGCCTAGGGAAGGGATTGTATTATCAGAGCACCGCTGGCTGCACTTGGCCATGGGACCAGGTCTGTGATTTGATTTGTTCCTGTTAAACTCCAACAGGTAAGAGCCAGCAGGTCTGTTTGGATTTGCCCCCCAGGCCATGCGTGGGCCAGGAGCTCCCAGCCATGCAAGGGGGACTGGGACCAGACTGCCTCCCTGCCCTTCGGGAGCTCCAGGGGGGCAGGTGAGTGAGTGACAGTGACAGTGACGGGCAGCCATGGGCCCCTCCACTCTCCTTCTGGATGGGGGAGGAGCTGCCCTCTGCCTAACCCACCCCCTGGTCATGTCAGTTTGTCTGTGTGTCTGCCTGTCCCTCCACCTGTTTATTTTTAGACACAGGCCCCTTCCAACCTCCCTGAAGCTCCTCTGTGTAAGGAGCCTGGAAAGAGAGGAAGGAAGTAAATATTTATGCTGATTAAGAATTCAGGAGCCAGGAAGGGCTGGTGGCCTGGTCCTCGGCTGGCCCGGGGCCACAGGCCTCCCCAAAGCCTCCACTTCCCACCCCCAATCCCCACCCAGCCTGGCAGAGGGGGACCGACCATGTCGGCAGAATCGTTTGGAAGCGAGAATTCAAAGTGACACTGACGCTCATTGGTGTCATTGCCCAAGCAACATCCTTTGGCACCAGCCCCACTGCCCCCCTCCCAGCCCAGCGGGGGACCAGGAGGAGCCCGAGGCCGGGCCGCCTGGTTCTGAAGACCTGAAGGAGATACTGCCTCAATCCAGAACCAGGGAGGGCTCAAAAAGGACCCTGTCCCCCAGGGTGGGGCCCAAGGTGGGAGGGGGTGCCCTTGGCCCCCGCTACTGCCCTTGGGTTTTGCCCTGGGTTTCATTCTGATGGGAGCCAGAGCCCAGCCCGGAGGCCCTGGAAAAGGAGGAAGGCGCCGCCCCAAAGCCCACAGTCCCAGCAACCCCATCTCCAGGCTGGCCTCACCCCAATTTCCCTCGCAATGGGGGCCCCACTTCAAGGGGGAGACGCCTGTGACCCCCTCCTTGGCCAACCTCAGTGTCCTCTTTCACCCCCATCCCCCAGCCGCCCGCCAGCGGCCAGTTCTGGGCTCCAGCTCTGCTCTTTGTTCCTGGGCTGGGTGAGGGGGGGCGGGGGAGAGCCAGTTACGCTCTCGGGAGGCTGAGGGGACAACCCAGCTTGAAACCGTGGGACTGGTGCTGTGATAACCAGAGAGGCCAGCCAGCCATCACCGACTTAATGCTCTCGACAGCCGGGGAGGTGGGGAGGATGGAGGCGCTCAGGGGGGCAAGCCGTCTTGCTCTGAGGGTGCAGGCAAGTTTCTTAACCAGGTTGGGGCACTCGGTAGGCACCCCGTGGGTGCAGCGTGGAGTCCCCTGGGAGCCTGGCCTGAAGATGGGGCTGTGCTCTGCTGGTGCGGGGCTCCGTGGGGGCGGGATGCTGGGCGGGAGGCGACGCAGAGGTGGTCACGCTGCCTGCCTGCCGGGTGATGCACAGCAGCTCCAGCCGCGAAAGGAACTAATTAGAGTGGAGGGAGCTGAGGGACGTGGGGCGGTGTGGGGACCACCGAAGTGGTGGGGGCGGGCAGGGGTCATCTGGGGGTGGGCCACGCTGGCCCTCGGGCCCGCCCCTCCCCCGCCCACCGCACCCTCCCAGCCGGCTGCGCCCAGACAATGGCTGCTATTGTGTGTTGCCTGCGGCCCAGCCACCGGCCTCAGCTGCCGGGCCCACCAAGACACGCCCCCCCTGGCTTACCTGGCAGGTCCCCCCCACACTTCTCCCCTCCACAGGCGAAGCACTACGTGGGGAAACTGAGGGCGGATGGTATACAGAATGTGGGATTCACATCCATTAAATACCCACCCTTCGTGTCCTGTTTGCCCACAAATTCTCTGAACCCTCACACACCCCGGTGAGTAGATGTAGTCATTTCCCGTCATAAAGACGGGGAAACTGAGGCTAAGAGGTGCAGGCTGGCATCTGCTCTGCGTAAAGCCCCTCCTTGCCTGCTTGGGGGAGGACGGGGGTGGCCCTGAGCCTGGAGGAGGGCCTGTGCAGGTGGAGGGGGCTCTGCGCAGCCCCCTAGAAGCGCTCACGGCCTCCCTGGCAGACGCAGAGGGTGGGGTCCTCTCCTCACAGTAGCAGCGGCAGAGCCCCGCCCACCAGCCCTCAGTGTTGTCGAAGGCAGCGTGAGGAACACCCCTATTCCCACAGTAGCCCTGACACTAACATTTAGGGCCAGCCATGGCTCATCCAGCTTAGGACTTACGGACGATTCCAAGATGCAACTCTCAGAAGTCCATGTGACTTTTTCTTTTTCTTTTTTTTAATGGAGACATTTTCTTTTTTTAAAAAATATATTTTATTGATTTTTTTATAGAGGAAGGGAGAGGGATAGAGAGTTGGAAACATCGATGAGAGAGAATCATCGACCAGCTGCCTCCTGCACACCCCCTACTGAGGATGTGCTCGAAACCAAGATACATGCCCTTGGCCGGAATCGAACCTGGGATCTTTCAGTCCCCAGGCCGATGCTCTGTCCACAGAGCCAAACCGGTTAGGGCCCCATGTGGCTTTCTTGATATAGACTGGAAAGAGGAAGCAAGTCCCTGGCCTCCCTTGTGCTCCATGGGTGCCCCGTGTCTGGTGACTTGGACCATCACTGCCAACATGCTGGTGGTATAAATGGAGAAACTGAGGCCGAGAGAGAGAGAGAGAGAGAGAGAGAGAGAGAGAGAGAGAGAGAGAGAGAGAGAGAGACCACTGCCCCGGGTCACACAGTGGGTGGCAAGCCCAGGCCTGGAAGCCATGGGTGAATATTACAGGATAACAGTATC